GGACATGGGACATGGGACATGGGTTTAGTTTACGGTGTGCGTCTCTGCGTATCAACTTGCAGCGGCAGGTTTAGGTTTAGGTCGATAACCACCTGCCGCTTGCCCGAACGTGCAAGCGCAACCTCATCCATCTCCGATCTGGAGCTCATAATGACGAGACGGCTCCCCGAAAGAAAACGAGGGCAACTGGGGAAAAGGGGAGATGTATGCCAGCACAGCACAGTATACGGATGTGCTAGTGCCTGAGGCACATGCACCAACGCACATACACTAGTAGTAGGATGCTCCAAATGGCACGCATTCTTTTCCTGTGCTCATTTATACGTGTGCAGTGCAGGGCCTTCCACAGTCCAAGTGGCTGCGGCGGGCGTCGGCCGATTGCAGACAGCCAGGCCCACCGCTCGAGCTTGAAAGCACGTGACCTTTCAGTTGCCCCTCGAGCTCAGTTTGGAGAGGAGAACATGGCCATTTTGCTAATTTTCACCTGCTTCAATTTTCGACTCCCTCGATCCCATAATATAAGAGCATTTTTGACAATCTTATATTATGGGACGGAAGGAGCAAAACATGAAATTCAAGCATGGACAAACAGTGTTCCTAGTTCCTCCTAGGACTAAGTTGTTTTAAGATGTACTCCCTCCGTCCCATAATATAAGGGTCAAAAGCGCTCTTATATTATTAGACCAAGGAGTAACTAAAAACTTACTGAAACTTTTAATCCACATGTGTTTATAGTGAGGTGGAAAATGGGAATAAGTGGGTGTTGATCCAAAAGCTAAAAAAACATGAAATTTCAAAAGATCCTAAGTAATTTAGATAAATGATCTTATAAACTATATAAACTAAAGGGTATATGCAAGGATTGTTGTTGAGCAACAAGCATTGATGCTCCTTGGGATTTTCGGTTAACCAAACATTGTATTTGTTGTGTGCAATCCTCAATAATGGGGGCAACAGCTAGACACTGAGACTCATTTGATGTCAGGATCTTTCGTGATCAGAACAAATACCAGTCGGACACTAATTATCAACGCGGCCATTAGTTGAAGAAATATATTAGAGCAATACAACGACATCTGACATTAGATGTTCCTCAATAGCAAACCAAGATGCAAAGGCAGCCTACTGGCAGTTGTCCCTGAGGTTGACAGTGCAATGCCAAAATTTCGTGGGACCTGATTCCTTGCCTCTTTGTATGTCTACACCACCGTGCAAACCAACGGTGCATGCAAAAGATATGCTAAATGACTGATGTGTTGTGTTACCGGGAATCAGCTGAACTGCTGAAGGTTACTGTGAAGCAAAGTTGACCGGCCACTGGAGACTCTGCAGGAACAGACCACGGATTACGAATGTTAGTCCAGTTCATAACATCAGGGAGTGAGGAAGAGATTGAAGTCACGCAGAAAAAAAAAGGACAGATCTAAGCATTAGCGTGCAGGCAGATCGTTGTTCGTCCTCGTCTTGTATTACGGAAGAGCAACAGTTCGTTATTGGGATCATTACACCATATCAATATTCTGAACCAGAGATAAGACAAATGTACATCTTTGATGGAGGAGGAGGTCAGTATTACCTCTAGTACCAAAACAAATGGCAGGACCCGTCGCTAGATAGGCAAGCAGGGGCTGCCAGCACGGTTGAGGCCAGGAGGCGGAGGTGTTTATGGTCCAGAACTGAGAGCAATGCTGGGCTGAGAACCTCACGAACCAGCTAGTCCGTAGCAACAACCTTACTCCAGTTTGAAGTAATGATCTCTACTTTGAAAGGTATTTGCAGGATACGAGATAGCATAAGACTATAACAGTATATTGTCCTGCACAAAAACAAGGAACAGGGAACAAATGCTGACATAAAAGAGAACAAACTCAGAAGTTCAACAGTGATACTGCAGCGCAATTCCGTTTCAAAAGTACTGCAGTGTAATGCAGGTGAGTGGATCTGTAATAAACATTAGCTCACATTCAGAAGAGCTGGACTGAATCTGAATAAGACAGGGTACCACATGGTGAACATAATTTTAACAAGTGTTCGAGACTAAGCAAGAACAAGAAAGATCCATCTGAATTCAGGCTCAAAAACCTTAACGAGACCAAAAGGCTATGATTTTAATCATGTGTAACCAAAAGGTTGATGCGGTGGGTTTACTTGGGAAAAAGAACAGTCTATACGATCTATGCAAGTGGAAAATAATCACCAGTTGTGATGAATTGACTGAAGACTAGCACTACCCTTACAATGCTTAATTCACTACATTACAAATAAAGTATCCAAATATAAATCGAAGATGCTAACTGCTCTGCTTGAACTGTTGGTGAGATTCGCCTGGTCAGAGATAAATCAATCAGGATTCAGGAAATTCAATTTCTAAAATGCATAGGTGATCAAAATTTCTTAATGTTAGTTGATAAATCGCAAGGCTTTTTAGTAATCACATGCAGTTATAAGGCTCCAGTAAAATAAGTAACTCCCTATGAGCTATTATCAGTTTATCACATGTTTGTATGGGGAGTCACATATAAATAAGGAACTCCAGTGAAAATTATATTTTTCGTCCCTGAACTCTTTTTGAAAATTTATAAATGGTCCCTAAACTCCAAAACCAGCAAACTGTAGTCCCTCAACTTTTAAAAACAGAGAAGTTTAGTCCCTGGGAGTACCACTTTAGGTGGTTTCTTTGCTGATCGGGTGTCGTTTTTTACTCAAACTGGGTGGGGCCCGTCTGTCAGTGACAGGAGACGCACAAAATATAGTGGGACCCGTGACCCGTCTGTCAGTGGTGGAAACGCGAAATAAATCAACGCAGCAAAAAAATGGCGTGTAATAGAGTCGAACTGGGCACCTCCCACAGCGTGCACACTGGAGCTAGCCACCTATCCAAAAATAATCTGATGTTGTACTGAGTGATACATGTTATATATTACTCCCTCTGTAAACTTTTTAGTGATCTAAACGATCAATCTTATAAAAGTACAGAGGGAGTACTTAGTATTTAGTTGGGGTGCATACACAAACTCCACATGACCACACCTCACGCAGGGTGCACACACTCGAACTCGGCACCACACGCAGAGTGCACACACAACGGACATAAGTAGAAATGCAGAACAAATGGTACGTCTAGGTCAACTAGTTAGTTAGCTACTAAATTAAAAAAGAGTAATAACTACTTACATTATTTTACCAATTTTGACATTTGTATCTCCATTGTACAAATTCGTACACATCAATACAGCTACTCCATCATGCACATGAGTCCAGAAATTTTTTAATAATATATGCGCAGAAAGTTGAATCAGCAAACACCTAATACAAATGCAAAAGCACAAGTCAAACTACTAATTACTTGAGCAAAAACAAGGAAAAGAAAACACACAGCATGGCATAACTACTTTTTCTTCAGTTTTAATTAGGAATAAAGACAAATAAATTTCTTTTAAATTAGTTAATTTTGAACGCGTTTAATACCCACATATATAATACAAATCAATATATACCGCTATGTTAAATGCAAAACATTTCCTGTATGGCTAGCTTGTGCACCCTTCATGCTGGAGGTCCCAGATTCAAACTATGCATTGTGCATTTTGTTTTAAGCATTTATTTTCGTTCTCCTGATGCTGACAAGTGGGACCCGCACATGATGTATCCAGTTTTAGTCAAAAAACACTCCCGGTCAGCAAAGAACCACCCGAAGCGGCACCAGGGACTAAACTTATCCGGTTTTGAAAGTTGAGGGATTACAGTTTGCTGGTTTTGGAGTTTAGGGATCATTTGTAAACTTTTGAAAGAGTCGAGGGATGAAAAATATACTTCTCCCACACGATTAAACAAGGACAGTTCACAGGAGATTCAAGGCATCCCATTGCCTGGCAATCGGCGCCTGCTACATATATCAAATGTCCAATTAAGTCATACTGCAATGATCAGAAAATAGAAAAACATATGCATCATAGAAGAGTTTAGATAGGATATAACAGCATTGTGCTATAACCATCCGATGAATGAACAATGAAATTACTAGAATCAGAACAATTATTTCAATCAACAGTGCATCATTCAATAGGGTACTTTCGTACGAGGCGATCTGACCACCAGGCATCAACAACTTGCAGTAGTACTCAACTGAAGCTGGTAATTAGAAAATGTATCATGCACCAATTATACTGGAACAGAATGTACATGTCATACAAGGGAAATCGTTACCAATTGTATGCTTGGTTCTCTTCGATGCAGGTGACCAGGGTGATGCACGCAACACCCGGTAACTTTATATTCCTAGAGCCCCGTTTAAGCATCTATGCGGCAAGAAGCGTGTCCATTAGTCCAATCCCCATAAACACTGCCTCCATCTGCAGCTTCGTCACATGCCCAATTGCCCATGCTAACAAAGTAACAAATAATGTTAAGACAATAATCCTGTTGCAGTTGCTTGTATATGAGCTCTTGTCCGAGTAAAAATCTTGCCTCCAAAAAGAAAGCCTTTTGGGGAATAGTATAATACAATGATTTATCATTTAATAACCTAATTGCATAAATGTATCAAAATCTTTAGGTGCAAACACAGCAGTGACAGTATTCTCAGAAGTTCTCTATGTCTCGATACAAATACCGGGTGTATATTTCCCTTGGAAAAAAAGCAAGTTTATATAGAAGGTTGCATTTGCATGGATATGCACAAAAAATATCATATACACATAATGCACTAAAGAATTGCACATGTGCATAAAATTGATGCAGGTATTCTAATTGCTATAATTTGCTTCCCTCTCCGCAGATATCTAGAGTTATTGTGATAGCTTTGATAAATGCAGGGGTTTCTCTTCCACGAAAAATAGCAGATCGTGCAATCTACTCACAAGAATGTTAAAATAACAGGTCCTCCAATGAATGTATTTTTTCCCTGCACTGTTCTTGTTCTTCAAACCATCTTCTACAAGAATTGAGCACAGAGCCACACAATGCTCAAAGTGACATCACTTCAGAGGATCTCCTCAATCCTAATACTGTAATACATGTGATGCTAGCTCCTCATCACCATGTTGCTTCAGTAACTGCACCAAACAATCAGCGCAAGAAGCGTCAATCCGTATTCCCCTATCCATGACCTTCCTCACCAACGCCGAGGCCTCAAGGACATGCCCCTCTTGACACAGCCCCAGCAACACGCCAGCATAGACATCAGAATCACAGAGCACCCCATTCTCATCCATCAGTCTCAACCAACAGCAAGCATGCAACCACATTTTCCTCTGACACAGCTCCCTCGCCATTGCACTTCCTGCGAGCGGGCTCAGTTGCACCCCTGTCTTCATCATCCTCTGCGCGAGGCCTTCAGCTTCCCTTGTCATCCCAGCCACAGACAAGCCTACCAGAAGAACATTATAGCACTGCCCGCTTGACAAAGTTCCGTCAACGACCAATCGCTCCACCACATCATATGCCTTCGAAAGCAAGCCAGCCCCCCTGGCCGCGCAAAACCCATCGATCAGCGTCCGCACAAAAATGCGATTCGGCATCACCCCTCTAGCTATCATCCTATCCAGCAAACTCAGAGCTTCCACCATTCTCCCTTTTCGGCACAGGCATTTCGCCAAACACGTGTACGACACCACGTTGGGCACACACCCGGCACCAAGCCTGCCACCCTCCATCTCCTCCAGCAGCACCACTGCGGCATCCACATGACCGAAACCGAGCATCCCATCGAGCATCGCGGTGTAAACCACCACATTGGCCGCGCATCCAAACTCAGGCATTTTGTCGATCAGACAGCGGGCGCCTTCGAAGTCGCCCCTGTACGCCAGCCTATGCACCGCGGTCACGATCAGGGGGACGGTCGGGTTGACGCCGGACCTGGACATGATGTCCAGAACGGCGGAGACATCAGCATGCCAGCGTGCGGCGCGGAGGGCGGAGTGGAAGCAGGCCACGTCGGGCGCGAGGCCGGAGGATCGCATGTGGCGGAGGACGGCGAGTGAGACGGGGAAAAGGCCGGCATGAGTGGAGATGCCGAGGAGGAGGGCGTAGTGCGGGAGGGGCAGCGGGTGCGGGGAGGAGGAGAGGAGGAGGGGCACGGCGG